TTAAATTTTTAATTGTGTGGTAATCTAGAATCCTACTCTCAGAAGAAACTTGAATGATTGGGAAGTGTACCAAATGGTGGACTTTCTTCAGACTCTCCAGCAGTTTTCTCCCCAGGTTGGTCAATCAGATTGTAGAAAGTGGAGGTGGGAGAATAGTGGACTCTTTTCTGTAAAATCCTTTTATAAAAGGTGAGTTAATGCATGGAAGGTGATTTCCCTGATAACAAAGTTTGGAATTCAGGCGCTCCCTGTAAAATAAAGTTCTTTGTAGGGCTGGCTGCATTAGTGAAGTGTCTCAGATGGGATAAACTGCTAAGCAGGGGTATATTGCTGGATTGTGGGGTTTGTGTTCTGCTTTTGGGAGTTGGAATTGGCCAACTGTCTTTTGTTACATTGCCCTTTCTCTTCTAGGATATGGAGTACAGTCATAGACACATTTGGATGGATAGGTTTTTTCTCCCATTCCATCCTGTCCTTTTTGATGAGTTGGCAGCTGATGCCGAGCAAGAGGGAGAGAATATTGTGTAATTTGATCCCCTTAGCAGTTTTTTGGTGTGTAGTTGGGGGGGGGGGAGAGAAATGCTCGAGTTTTTGAGAAAAGGTCCACTACCCAAAAGGTGCTAGGGAGGATTGAAGCAAAGCTGTGCTCTTGGTTTTCAGTGAATAAGGAGTTTAAAGGCTCTATCCATAGTAGATTTTTAAATAAGGATACTTTATTATCTTGTTAATTGTTGGTTAGCAGAAGCATTCTATAGTCCCCATTGAGGTGTATATTGGTTTTATTGTATATCCTTTCTTTTTGTTTTATTACAATGCATTACCTTTTCAAAAAAAAAAAAAAGATAATAGTAAGATGTAGCAATATTAATGATATTATAATAGGGTGCCCACTTTATATTTTTGTCACCTAGGTGGGTGCTTTTCTGCTATAAGTCAAGTAGAGCTGTAAAGTGGGCCGGGCTGCTCGCGGGTTGGCATGACCCAACACGACTCGGGCCGTGCCAGGCCTGGCCTAGTTATTATAGCAAGTGGGCCATGCTAGGCTCAACCCAAACCCTTATGCTGTGCCATGCCAGGCTTGGGTTTTGAGGCTTGCAGGCTAGCATGGCATGACACAAAAAAGTGGACCGTTCTAGCACAACCTGTGGCCCAATCACGGCACGACCTGGATGGTGGCCCAACACGGCCCACATATATTAATATATTATTTATATATATATATTTAATAATATGCATATACATATATATATATATATATAATTGTATAATAATATATTAACATATATATATATATATACATATGTATATAAATTTTTATTTTAAAATTTCAAAATTTTATATTATTTTATTCCAAATTTGTTTTATTTTTTCAATTTCATTTTGTTATTTCATATATAAACAATTGTGTTCATCAAAATTCATATGGAATAAAATTTTAAGTTTTTTTTTTTTTCAATTTCTTGTTTATTTTTTTGGTAGTAAATAAAAAGAAAATTTATTAATAGAAAAAAGTACATTGTTCATAAAAAAATAGAAAAAAGTACATCTAATAGTGATGAGATATCACTAGAGAACAAAGCTACAAAGGGAACAAAAACAAGAGAAAGATACACTAAGAGGAAAAAGGAGAAGAAAACATGGTCCGTACAAAAGAGAAATAAAAAAGAAAAAACAATTAGGCCAGTTGCAAAGTGTTCCAAAATTCAGAACCAAGATCTTCCTTAGTGATTCCTTCAAACTTTGGGAGAATGAGGATCCGGTCCATAATTTATTTGCCACATAGAAGTGTTATATGTTCTCTTGAGCGAGCCTTCTCATCAAATACTCTTCTATTTCTTTCTTTCCAAAATTCTCAGCAAACTATGGAAGTAACACAACTCCAAGTGATCTTTGCCTTGACATTTCCAGATATCTTAGGCTATTCGGAGAAGATTTCCTCCACAGAATTGGGAGACCACCCACCAGCCTTGAAGAGCTTGAAGAAAAGGCCCAAAATGAACTTGGAGAATAGACATTAACAAGCAAATGAAAAACATTCTCCTTAGCATTCTCACGAAGATGGCATTTGGTAGTGAAGTGAAAGCCTCTATCTTGAAGATAATTTAATGTCAATATGCTATCCAAAATGCCTTTCGAGTCTGAATTTTCTCCACTTGACCATAATAAGGACTTGTAGAAGAATTTGTCCGGGAATAGACCATTTGTAGATTCTTTCTACCATGTTTGAATCTTTCCTTTCCATCTGAGGCTCAACTAACTGTAAATTTGCTAGTAGATCTACACACTTTTGAATTTCCAAACCAATGAGAGACCTAAATTTTGGATACCAAACTACTCTACCTTGACCTTGATTAATCTCAAAGTTCTCTACAATGGAGCTATTCTTCATACCCAACCTCTACAAACAAGGGCAAAGATCACACAACTTTCCAATTCCTAGCTAATCATCTTCCCAAAATTTAATTGTTGAACCATCACCAACTCTAAAGGAGACAAGGTTAAGAAAAGCTGATTGGAAGCACATAATCCCTTTCCATACACTTACCCCATAAGATGTCTTTCACTTCTCTAGAGTCCCACCCGAATCCAATAACCCCATATTTGCAAACCACCACCCTTCTCCAAAGCACCTCCCTCTCCATAACCATTTCCCTAAAAGGGCTTTATTGAATCTCTTCAATTTTTTTATCCTCAAGCCCCATCTTTTTTTCTTTGCACACTTTATCCCACTTAACTAAATGGAATTTCTTCTCAATCCCTTTAACTCCCCATAAGAACTCCTTTTGCAATTTTTCAATTGAGTTTATCATAGTAGAGGGAGCGTTTAAAAGTGAAAGGTAATAAACTGGGAGATTGGATAGCACACTCCTAATAAGAGTAATCCTTCCATCAGTCCTGTCATGAACCGTTTGCTAAGTAGAGGAGACCGAAGCTTTCGCCCTTATAGGGAGGCCCAAATAAGTAAAGGGGAACTCCCCCACCAAAGAGTCCTCAATTTCTTGCTTATCTTGTTAATTTATTGTAATTTCATTATTATTATTTTTTCAAATTTCTTAAAAACAGTGCCCCATACCCCGGCCCAACATGGCATGGGCCCACTTGGGCTTGTGCTGCGGACTGTGCCAGGCTTCCCTTTTGAGGACTCTAGGCCATGTAGGCATGCCTCACCAAGCCTGTGTGCCGACACGGCACAACCCACTCTAGTATGGGTGGCCCACAAAAGTGGGCCATGCCAGCCTGGCATGGCTTATATCACACCTCTAAAGTTAAGGTGTTCAGGCGAGGCGCCTAACCAAGGGCACCAAGTCACCTAGGTAGGTGCCTAGGTGACACCTTGACAACTATGGTTTCTGATTTGTATGATGCTGTATTATTCTTATGTAGGTATTCATGATATTATTTAAAAGAACACTCTGCTTCTAACTCTACTGTGGGAAATATTCATGTCTTATTTTGCATTTTTTTGCCATATGAATTTGGTGCCAAAACATATCTGAGTGGTTGGAACACTCGGTTTTTAAAGGTAGTAGCAGGAATTCAACTTAGGAATTATCATGAGTTAAAAGGTGTCAACATTCTGATGAACGAAAATAAAAATGACAGCTTGATTTGGAAGGAATTGATGTAGAAAACAGTACTGTTGGGTTTGAAACAACATATAAGAATACAATACAAAATATCTTTTTCAGTTTTTCTGTAAACCGATTCTCAAATTGTCTGAATGGACAAATGCTAATTCTTTGATGAGATCATTGGCTGCAAAATGAAAAGCTCTTTATTATTGGAATTCATGTGTTAATGCTTTTAAATTATTTTGGTCTTGACAAGTGATGAAAAATGAAGTTAAAAGGTTTGACATTTGTAGAGCAAGAATAGGTCTTGTGAACTAAAGATAAATAAACATCTCAGATTAAATGCATTCCCAAGAGAAGAAAAAGAAGAAATAAAGAACCTAAAAATTCATCAAAGCAAACCACCTTTGTAATGGGTGATTCTAAAATTTCATCAAAATTAAATTCAGATTGCAAATCAACTTGGTGTGAACAGGTTAGTCATAGAGGGTGATTCTAAGGTGGTTGTGGGGTGGTGGTTGCAGGATCTGGATTCTATTACTTGGAAGTATAGTGATCTACTAAAGAAAGTCAAGTGGATGACACTGCATTTGACAATTAGGATGCAATGGTTGAACAGATCGGCTAATGCAATGTCAGATTTTCTAGCCAAACAAGGGGCTACTAGGGATTCTCTTTTCTGGGCTGTGTTGTAATTTTCAGTTTTCAGTTTATTTGTATAAAGGTCTGGCAGCATCTCATGACCCCCTTGGGATGCTTGTATCAGTCTATATCTTTTGATGATAAAATCTAATTCAATTATCAAAAAAAGCTACCTTTGTAATGGGAGTGGATAATTTGTTTTAACATGTTCTTAATTTCTTATTATTTGGTGCATCGAAATTATATGCTATATGGTACACTATCAAATATATATATATATATGTGTGGTATTTATGCACTAAAACAGATAGTTGAAAGAAGATAGTATCAGGAAATATTTTCCTTGAATATTTTGTTTAGTCTGCCTTTTTTGAACATAGAATGGTAGAAGGCATCAAAATTTTCTTTTCTTCCTCTTTTATATCAAAACAGATGCATCCTTAATTGCATCAAAATTATTACAAATTTTATCTTTTAATGGTACTTATAAGCAATAAATATTATCACTGAAGATGGAACAACTTTTTCATTTCTTTGTAACTTCAATAATATTAGCACAACTGCATGCTTTGTCCTCTTAAAATACCACTTATTGTCAATTTTTTCTACTTTACCATGTAGTGTATCAGTGTATGTTGCCTGAGAATCTCTTTTCTTTCAACTCTATATAGTTTTCTTCTCAACATTCATGAATGTTTCACTTGTCTGTGAATGTTACTTAGTTGTAAGAATGTATGTGTTGATTGTAAATAAAATACATATCTAACTATCATTTTGGTTTCCAAGGTCCGGATCATGAAAAGACTTCGGCATCCTAATGTTGTTCTTTTCATGGGAGCTGTAACTCGTGCTCCGAATCTTTCAATTGTTACGGAATTTCTTCCTAGGTATGCTGGCATTAGATGTCTTTGAAAGTTTCAACATATTTGTGGTGATTTTTACCTCTTTATGACGACTTTCTTGTATTTGGAAAATGGATCCTTTTATCGAATTGCCTTATGGCTTAAGGACTTGTGGAATTGTTACCGTGGCATCGAGTTTTGATATTATTGGTTCCTAATACTTGAAGAGAAGTAAAGCTAGAGGAATAATCCTTTAGGCTATGTTTGGTTTGAAGGAAAAGGTAAGGAGACCTTTACAAACCTTGTATAGGTTTCCTTACCTTTCCCTTCCTTTCCCTACTTTTTCCTTCAAACCAAACTCAGTCTTATTGAATTGACTTATTGCTTGAAGACTTTTTGGAATTGTTTTAATGATTTGTTTTTTTTTTCTAATATTGTTCTTAATACCTGAGTAAAAGAAAGCTTCAGGAATCCCTTTTTGTTTCCCATTTAATCTGTGAAAGGATTACACTAAGACGATAATGAGGAAACTTAGGATTTTCTTGGCATATAAGGAATTTCAATAAATGAAATCCTTAATCAAGAAGTCATTTTAATGTTGACTCTCTTTAATATGACTGCAAATTTATTGGAAAAAATACTTAAATGTTATATACAACTTTTTCTAAATCAACAATTTCATGGACTTTTTGAATTTTGATGCATGAGAGTAAATTTCACTAAAATTTCCATCAAATTGTCCTCATCCTTCAGCCTGTTGACTACTTTTTTCTACCAGGCCCACGAGTTGATAATGTCTAATCTTAGATGCAATTTTCATGTGTTTGGAGTGAATTTTGGACCTAAGAGTTACCCTTAATAAGAGTAGAAAATACTTAGAGTAAACATTAAGTAGGTGGACTGTGGACTGTCAGAACATATTAGATTGTGAAATTCAAAATTCGTCCCTAAAATATCCTGGTAATGTAGGACCAGTTTTGTTATCAATTGATGTAGGACCAATTGCTCTGATGCCAAACTATTGTAAGATGAATTATAACCCAAGGGTGAGTCTAGGAAGATACCAGAATAGGGAACTGTTAGATTTGGAAGAACCTTGAGGCTTAATTGCAAGAATTGAAGAATTGTTCCAAATTTGTCAAATGTTTCTACTTGAGGAAAAATTTGAATGAAAATTTGTAGGTAGATTTAGCATGGATAATTTTGTAGCGACTGACCAAGTTCGGTAGGGCTTGGCATATGTCTTTCAGAAAAGGAGGAATAATATTCTTTTCAAAGAAAACCTAAAATTTCTGGTGGAGTTTTTAGATGAATTTTGGTAAAAGTGATGAAGACCTCTGAGGGGTGGCCTTATATGAAAGAAATCAGAGATGGTTTGATGCAAATGAACAAGAATGGCCAAGATAAGAAAACTTCGAGTTTTGATATAAACTGGAGAATAAACGTACATGAATAAGTTAATTAAAACTTATTTTATTTTACTCTAGAGAGATGTTAGTGGAATTCATCTGGTGAGGAAATTTTGGTTTCTTGATGATAGCTTTTAGAATTGAAGAGAAGATAGAGAGAGAACCCAAAATCACTTAATGGGCACCTAGATAATAATGGTCTTTCATGGAATTTGGGGTTGAGGAGGGGCTTGAGAGATTGAGAAACTTTTAAACTTGTGAACTGGTTAGAAGCCTTAAAAGAGGTTTCTCTTTGTCCTTCTGGGTTGGATGAGAAGGTATGGATTCCAAACACTAGTGGCAATTTCTAATGTGCTTCCTTTAAAACTCATTCCTGGTTAGAACCCTAATGGTTGGTCCAGCCCCTCCAAAGGTGAAGGTTTTTTGTTGTGAGATTGCTACTTAGATCATGGATACCAGTGAGAGGCTCCAGATGAAATGGCAAACCTGGTGTCTTTCCCCTCATGTGTGCATTTTATGTTTGAAGAGTGGAGCAACGCTTTTCTTCTTTTGACTTGCCAGAAGGCTACATAGGTATGGAACCACTTTTTTTTCCTTCTGGGAGCAGTTGGGCAGCACCTTCCATAGATCTCTTCTTTACAAGCTTATTAACATGCTATACAAAGAGGCAAGAAGATTTTAAGGCATTGTACAAGGGAAGCTGTTCTATGGGGCCATAGGGGAGGGGAGAGGAAGCTAGAATCTTTGAAAACAAGGAACTAGAGGCAAAATCTTTGATAGATCTTATCATTGGTAAGAATAACACATTGGTAAGCTAATGTCTGTGTCCATTCAACTCAACACTGGATGTCACCCCATCAAATATCTTCCCAAAATCTAGTCCTGTCCCCATAACATACATCAAATCTGATTATGTGAGCCAAGAACAGAGGAACAATGACAGTGATGGACATCCAAGGAGATACAAGTGTTGATCTAATTGCAAGACCAGCATCCCATCTGTTTTCCTTTTGTCCATGAATACTCTTAATCACGGCATGCCAAAGTTTGTCTGTATTCTTAGGGAAATGTCACGGCCATTACTCACTAAAGACTAATTTCTAAATGCCAATCTTCCCAACTTCACTCCTCCTTATTCCTTGCGAAAATAGTGTGCCAATTAACTAGCTGATCTTTTTTTGACCGAAAGGAAGTACAACAGAATATTGAGAAGAGTGATTTTTATGGGGTTTATGAGCTTCACTCACCATAAGCATAATATGCAGAAGATTCACTCTAATATTGGTCAAATATCATACACACACATATATAGAGACACTCTAGGGTTGGCCAAACTCCTTAAATTAAGCAGAGCTGTCAATGGGTTGGGTCTACCCAACAGAACCAAATCGACTGAACTGATTATGTCAGTTTTGGTTCAGTGGTTTATTTCCCTATTAATAATTGGGTTGGGACTGGTCCTTGCTGTTCCAAACCGATGAAGACCTAGATCGATTATATAGTTAATAATATACAGAGATCTCCTGGTATTCTTGTATCTTTTATTATATTTTATGTCTAAAAAGGTAAGTTTCACACAGTATATAGGATACTTTTGGTTAAAAAGCACTTGGTTTTATCAATATGTAAACAGTTTACTATTTTACTGCCATTTTTATTAAAGTTATGTTATAAATAAATGAAGTTCTAAGTTGTTATTATCATAGTCACGTAAAATGACCAAAATATCCATATTGTCTAAAGAACTGAAAAAAATTCAACTTTGACTCTGTCTCCTATATTACTTGGCTTTTGGGAAGAACCTTAGATGATAATGGTGAGATCATTTGTTCTTAATTGCTCCTTTGGTAATATTTTACTCTTTAACATGGATCATACATTTGTATCTTCTCCTGATAGAGGGCACCCAGATTGTCAGGTTGTCAATGCTTTGAGTGGCCACTTCAACAACTAATTGTGTCTATTATCCTACTCCTTTTTCCCCATTGAGTTTCACTAGTACTTTAATATATACTTACTAATTATACATGTATTGGTGATGAGTTGCTTTCTCAAAATGAGAAAATCTTAGTGCATGCTGATACACTAACTGGTCATCCATGTGGTTAATACTTTTAGAAGAATAAAAACAGCATTTGGTTATGGACAAGGACATCTGAGATGTATGTGTGATACGTTAACTGAATCATGTATAAAAAAATACTTAATAGAAAAAGTGAATAAAGGTGTTTCGAGATTATTTTTGTTATATATCCACAAAATATAAATAATTCTAGAAATGCAGAATGCGGCAAGAGATCAAATCCTTGATTATTAATTGTCTGCATAGGTCCCCTGTTTGTATTAGGAATTTCCAATGGTTAATGGTTATCTGAGAGAGATTAGTTATTTGGTACATGGATTTATTCATGTCTTTTGGAAAATTTAAGCATAACTTATGTCTTGCAGAGGTAGTTTGTATAGGTTAATTCACCGGCCTAACAATCAATTAGATGAACGGAGGCGTTTGAGGATGGCCTTAGATGTTGTACGATTTCGCTATTTCTCACTCTTTACTATTTCCGATCAATAGAATTTTTTTGGTAAACTTGGTGATTTCACTTGCAATAATTGCCTACCTTTTTATAACTGGATTTTCAGGCCCGAGGAATGAACTATCTACACAATTGCACACCTGTAATTGTTCATCGTGATTTGAAGTCTCCAAATCTTCTTGTAGATAAAAATTGGGTTGTAAAGGTATTTACTCTTTTCTCACATTTGGATTGCTGTTTTACATATGATTTTTCTTACCTGATTTTTCTGAAAGTGATTTGACTTGCTATCCTAACTTAGGTTTGTGATTTTGGGTTGTCAAGAATGAAGCACAATACATTTCTTTCTTCAAGGTCAACTGCTGGGACGGTAAGCTGCCTTATTGCAAGTCAAATCATTCCTCCTATAACTTCAAACTATTATTATGACATTATTCTTTAAGTTGATTCTTGTTTGTTTACATAGTTTTTGTCCATTCGATATGTGTTTTCCTTCATTGCATTTATCTTCATTCTATGTTCTATGCTGGATTTAAAACCAAATTTTAATTTCTTTTTACCTTTGATTACACCTTACTTTTTTCATTTACATGTACGCTGCCTTATCAAGTCAAATTAGTCTTCCTATAACTTCAAACTATTATTATGTCACTATTCTTTAAGTTGATTCTTGTTTGTTTACATGGCTTTTGTCCATGCAATATGAGTTTTCCTTCATTGCATTTATTTTAATTCTGCGTTCTATGCTGAATTTAAAACCAAATTTTAATTTCTTTTACCTTTTATTGCACCTAATTCTTTTCATTTACATGTATTCCATGTTCCTATCCTTGATTGCCTAGCCTTGCCCTAAACTTGCTAGTTTCTTGTGATCAAGCGGTAGGCTCCAATTAAATAATAGTAATGATTATGATGATAATACTTGCATATATTTTTTACTCTCTTTGACTACTTTGCAAGTGTGAGCTTGCTTTACACTGTCGGTCCCAAGCCTAGATAAAGGAGAGTTGATTCAGGTTGGCAGTTGGCATTAAAACCCTCACCAACCTATGGTCATTGACCCAGGATTGTCTTTTTGTGCTCATCCTAGGGTGTTCCCCGGAAGCAATTCACTACACCTTAGACTAACTTGGCAAGGGTATGCTAGGGTGTTCCCTAGAAGTGGCACGGTATAGCTACGTCTGGTTGTGGTGTTCCCTAGAGGGCGGGTAAAGAAGTTAGTCTAAGAAACACAAATTCGATTAGCCACTTGGAATGTAGAACATTAGCAAGAAAGACTATGGAATTAGTAGACACTAGGAGTGTAACTGAGCCGAGCCAAGATAAACTTTAAAATGTCTTGACTCGGCTCGACTAAAATACTACTAGGTTTGAGCTTGAGTTTGAGTTCAATTCGAACTCTATTTTCCGGTTTGACGCTTTGAGCTCGATTTGATTAAATGTTTGATGAACTTCAGTTTGGCTTGAAAGCTCGAAAATGAATATAATTTTATATTTTATAAATATATATGATATATTTTTATAATATATAGTATATTTTCATATTATATATGAAATACGGAAATATATTTTACATACAAATATTTTTCATTATATATTATAAAATATATTTTTATATTTTATAATACATATATACATATGTGTGTATGCATAGCTTGGTTGAGCTTGAGTTCGAAATTCAAATAACTAATTGAGCTTACACCAAGATTTGAACTCGATTCAAGTTTGATTAGAATCAAGCGCAAACCAAACTTAATTGAACTCGAGCCTGAACTATTTGGTTAGAGCTTGATTCAATTGCACCCCTAGTAAACACAGTGAAGAGGAGAGGAATTAATATTGCATGCTTATAAAAAGAACTAAATGGAAGGCAAAAGAACTTAAAAAGTTGATGGCTACATAATGTGATACATAGTAGAACTGTTGAAGTAAATAATTGAAATGGAGTAGCAATAATAGTAGATAAATATCTACATTACTATTTTTTTCTCTCCCAAAAAAATAGTAGATTAAAATTTAGAAAGAAATTATGAACATTAAAAGAATTGGATATAGACTAATTTTAATTAGACTTGTTTTAGGTGAGGAAATCATTAACACAATTAGTGCTTATTGTAGAGAGACCAGGCCGAATGGGCCCTAGTATCTATTCTTTAATTTTTTGTAGTGCGTTATTTATTTGTTTGTTAATGGGCTTGTCTTTATGGGCCTGTTACTTCTTTTTATAAGTTTATTTTAAGTTTATGCTTAGCTGGCCGCCCACTTAAGGGCATACTTGTAATTAACTTAGAGAATGAAGATTAACAAAAGGATTAGAGAGGGAGAGAGGAGATTAATTGAACTTTTCTTTTCTCCATCTTCTTCCTTTGTATTACTATCTTCTACCTTTCTTTCACTTTTCTCTCTAATTTTAATCAAGTTTATATCAGTGTTAGATTTACTTCTTTGTATCAGAGCAAGTTTCTCCCTTCTCTTTTTTATTTTTTTTTTCTCTTTTGCCATACACCCTTTGATCATGACTGCCAAGAAGTGATGCTGTATTTTTTCTGCCCAAAACCCTAGCCGATTAGAGAGTTTTGAAGTTACAGGTAAAGGAGAAGCTTTTGGTGTGGCGCTTAGTGCTCTGGTAGAAGCGGCTGCATCTTCTCTGTTTCTCCCCGACAATTGAGTGCAGTGAAACCCTAGTTGTCAAGTATCCGGGTATTGTTTTGACTTAAAGTAAGTTTATAAAGACTGGAAATCTAGTTTTTTGATTTTTTGTTTGATCAATGGAGCAATATGGAAGTGAGTCCAAGCAGACGCCAGTATCTAGGCTTGGCTCGGTAGATTCCGTTTTGACTAGAGTAACAACAATTAAGTTGGATGGAACCAATTACCTAGCTTGGGCACAATCTATACGGATTTATGTCTGTAGTAGAGGTAAATTAGGGTATCTCATAGTCAGTAAGGTAAAGCCCATAGAGACAAACCTTGCATTTGAGAAATGGATGTAGGAGAACTATACAATAATTGGATGGTTGGTCAACTCTATGCAGCCCCATATAAGTCAGCATTATCTTTGGATGCCTTCATCCAAGGAGATCTAGGACAGTGTTACGGAAAAACCTATTCATAGAAGTTGAATGTGGCAAGAGCTTATAAGCTGAAGAGTGGTATGAAAAATCTGAGACAAGGGGAGAAGAGTGTGGCAATCTACTACTCTGTGCTGAAATCTCTATGGCAGGAAATTGATGTTATGGAGACAGTTGTATGGGAGAGTACAAAGGATGTAGACTTTTAGGAAATTGGTGGAACGAAACAAGGTGTTTTCTTACAGGACTCAACCCTGAGTTTGACATTATTAGGCAGAATATTCTGGCCAAGGATGAGGTCACTCTTGCCCAGGCATATGCTATGGTAAGCAGTGAAGAGAGTAGGCAGTAGGTTCAGTTACAAAGTTCACCTACAAAACACTTTGCACATGTTGGATTAAAGTCGAAGGGTCCGACTGAGAAGAAAGAGATTCTTGATAGTGTGTCCAGCCAGAAATAAGAGGAAGAGAATAGAAGAGAAGAAGAAGAGAGAAGGGAGAAGAGAAGAGAAGGGATTGGCAATGTAACAGTGCTGGTGGCGCCAACTTTTATTATAATATATATAGGGCGGCATAAATAAGAAGGGAAAAGACCCTAACACCAACAACTAAATTATTTCAACACTCCCCCTCAAGTTGGAGCATAGATGTCAATCATGCCCAACTTGTCAYACARAWCWTTGTGCCGCACATGATGAAGACCTTTGGTGAAGATATCTGCAAGTTCTTCTGAGCTGACATATG